GTCAAGCTATTACAAACTTCATCTTATAGATATTCACAATGTCAAGCTATTACAAACTTCGTCTTATACATCTTCACAATGTCAAGCTATTACAAACTTCGTCTTATACATCTTCACAATGTCAAGCTATTACAAACTTCATCTTATACATCTTCTCAATGTCAAGCTATTACAAACTTCGTCTTATACATCTTCTCAATGTCAAGCTATTACAAACTTCGTCTTATACATCTTCTCAATGTCTAGCTATTACAAACTTCGTCTTATACATCTTCTCAATGTCAAGCTATTACAAACTTCGTCTTATACATCTTCTCAATGTCAAGCTATTACAAACTTCGTCTTATACATCTTCTCAATGTCAAGCTATTACAAACTTCGTGTTATACATCTTTACAATGTCAAGCTATTACAACTTCGTCTTATACATCTTCTCAATGTCGAGCTATTACAAACTTCATCTTACACATCTTCTCAATGTCAAGCTGTTACAAACTTCGTCTTATACATCTTCTCAATGTCAAGCTGTTACAAACTTCGTCTTATACATCTTCTCAATGTCGAGCTATTACAAACTTCATCTTATACATCTTCACAATGTCAAGCTATTACAAACTGCGTCTTATAAATCTTCTCAATGTCGAGCTATTACAAACTGCGTCTTATAAATCTTCACAATGTCAAGCTATTACAAACTGCGTGTTATACATCTTTACAATGTCAAGCTATTACAACTTCGTCTTATACATCTTCTCAATGTCAAGCTGTTACAACTTCGTCTTATACATCTTCTCAATGTCAAGCTGTTACAACTTCGTCTTATACATCTTCTCAATGTCAAGCTGTTACAAACTTCGTCTTATACATCTTCTCAATGTCAAGCTATTACAACTTCATCTTATACATCTTCTCAATGTCAAGCTATTACAAACTTCATCTTATGCATCTTCACAATGTCAAGCTATTACAAACTTCGTCTTATACATCTTCTCAATGTCGAGCTATTACAAACTTCATCTTATACATCTTCACAATGTCAAGCTATTACAAACTTCGTCTAATACATCTTCACAATGTCAAGCTATTACAAACTTCGTCTAATACATCTTCTCAATGTCAAGCTATTACAAACTTCATCTTATACATCTTTACAATGTCAAGCTATTACAAACTTCGTCTTATACATCTTCACAATGTCAAGCTATTACAAACTTCGTCTAATACATCTTCTCAATGTCAAGCTATTACAAACTTCATCTTATACATCTTTACAATGTCAAGCTATTACAAACTTCGTCTTATACATCTTCACAATGTCAAGCTATTACAAACTTCGTCTTATACATCTTCTCAATGTCAAGCTATTACAACTTCATCTTATACATCTTCACAATGTCAAGCTATTACAAACTTCGTCTTATACATCTTCACAATGTCAAGCTATTACAAACTTCGTCTTATACATCTTCTCAATGTCAAGCTATTACAAACTTCGTCTAATACATCTTCTCAATGTCAAGCTATTACAAACTTCGTCTTATACATCTTCACAATGTCAAGCTATTACAACTTCGTCTAATACATCTTCACAATGTCAAGCTATTACAAACTTCGTCTTATACATCTTTACAATGTCATGCTATTACAACTTCGTCTAATACATCTTCTCAATGTCAAGCTATTACAAACTTCGTCTTATACATCTTCACAATGTCAAGCTATTACAACTTCGTCTAATACATCTTCACAATGTCAAACTATTACGAACTTCGTCTTATACATCCCAATCCTGACATATATCAGCGAAAATTTACAAAAAAAAGTCAATTTCTGTAACAAAGCAAGAAATATTTCACTCGGATAACTGTTTGAAACGTGATCCATTTTTTTGGTGAAAGATGAGCCAGGCCTACAAAAAAGCATTTTTATCCTTTGTATGAATATAATGTATTTGAGTGACGTCAAGATATTTATCATTTGGTTAGGTTAGATTTCGTTCTTGAAAAATAATTTTCGGGGATTGATTTGGGTCTGAGAACAGTCCAATCAAATCGATGCATTTATAAATTGGATGCTGGAAAGGTTGCTATTGCAGTCAAGGTAATAGACAATTGCCGCTGGATCTTTATCTTTGCGTTCGGGACCTATGGTGCAAGTGTCGATGTATCTATTTTTATCTTCCGTTATTCTGTGAAAGCTGTAATAAAAGTATTTTTACGGCAAAAAAAAAAATGGTAACAACTTGTAACGAACCGTGCTAGTCTCTTACATTGACCCGGGCCAAATGTTCACGTGGGTATCAAATGAACGGAAACGAAACGTTAACCGCTCTCCTGTCATAGAAATGGATTTGTGATGAGTTAAATATGTGAAAAATAATCAAAGAATTGAAAGTTTTGGGAAGTTTGTGTGGTAATCAATAAGGAAAGACAACACTACTGAAAAGTTGTGTCAATAACTTGTTACATCCTTCCCCTCCATAAACACACAACTATTGTTCCTAGCCCGATCACAATACAATTTATTACAACAGGTCGTCTTTATTTGACGAATCAGATGAAGATAACCACCTGAGTTTACAAGATATCTGTATTCGCTTTATCTCACTACAAGGGAGTTTTGAAGGGTCGTCTTTATTTGACGAATCATATGAAGGTAACCACCTGAGTTTAAAAGAAATCTGAATTCGCTTTATCTCACTACAAGGGAGTTTTGAAGGGTCGTCTTTATTTGACGAATCAGATGAAGATAACCATCCGAGTTTACAAGATATCTGAATTCGCTTTATCTAACTACAAGGGAGTTTTGAAGGGTCGTCTTTATTTGACGAATCAGATGAAGATAACCACCTGAGTTTACAAGATATCTGAATTCGCTTTATCTCACTGCAAGGGAGTTTTGAAGGGTCGTCTTTATTTGACGAATCAGATGAAGATAACCACCTTTAAAAGATATTTCATTTCGATTTATCTATCCTAACGGGCCCTCGCCTCTGCCCGTCTTCATTAGCCAACATGGTGCAGAAAAGTAGGACGTAAAACTCTATTCATTTCATTTCTAACGGGTCCTCACATTATATATAGAAATCACCATTTGCGTATTGTTGCGAATACGAATAGGAGTCATAAGTTTCCACCGCAACTCTCATGCGTTCGGAACTAATGACCTCTTTCAAAATAGCCCTGTCACACCGGACTGTGACCATGTGCGATCTTACGGCGACTGGAAATGTACTAAGTCCCGGTTAAACGTGTGGAAACTAGAGAAAAAATTTCCAAATATTTACAAACTGACAAAAGTCGACCTCATACTGCGAGTAATGCGACCATATTGCTTTCTAACGTTTTTGCAGCGACAATGGCGAAAATTTTATTGCTTTAGATTTATATTTTTATTTATTTATGTCTGGCGTGTCCTACACGCATAAACCACGTATAGCGACACAGTATGAGCCAATTTTTAGTCGCAAAGCCGGGCCAGTCATTCTATATTCCATTTCATATTTCAATTCATGCATGAAAAACTACACGAAAAAGTAACCTATTTTCATGAATAAAACATATTATTGACTTCACACAGATAATATAACAAATACTTTATTCTTTCATCATTAGCTTATCGTATTTCATTTTAAATATATTTCATGTCGAAAACTATCAAAATTAGAATCAGGATGCAAAACGATAACCCGGACACAAAATATATTGCCCAATATGTCAACTTCTAATAAGCCAATATAGAAATTAAAATATATATTTCAGTCGTTATTGCCCGCCTCTCACGTAGACAGAATAAAGCAAGGGATTTCAACCATGAACGGTAAGACACGACCAGGAACCCAAAGTATATTGCCCCAATATGTCAACTTATTATACGCCAATATAGAAATTTAAAAGTATGTTTCGGTCGTTATTGCACGTAGACACGATAAAGCAAGGAATTTCAACCACCAGGATTTTCTCCTAGGTTTTTAATGAATTTTTTTAAATTAAAATCATAATTGTCCGAAAATTTTATGCTAGACTACAAAGCATCTCATTATCCTTGCCTCTATTCCATCCTAATTTAAAAATTATCCCTTTGGTGAGGGGGGAGGGGGGGGGGGGGCTGTGGGGTGTTGAAAACCGAGTGAGGCTGCATTTTTTAAGAATAAAACTAAAAACATACTCTTGACACCACAGAGAGGAGATTACAAAGTTTCTTATATCATTATCCTTATACCATTTTATAGCTCATTGCGTTTTTCTTATGTGGATTAACTTTTACTTAAAACGGAATCAGGATGCAAAAAGATAACCCGACATGCAGTCTAATGCCCAATATGTGAACTTATTTTACGCCAACATACAACTGTATTGCCCGTAGCCAACCCTAATATATCTGAAGAGACAATGGTGTTTGATGTATGGTTGCAGTAATGGAATTGGTCGGTTGTCAGAATTTGTCAGTGGGGCAACCAATTTTTTTGCGGATTGCTAATTGTTCTTCATTAGGCCTACATACCTTCATTTGCCTAGTCTACATTTTTAGACAAATTCAACTCATTGCGCACTGCATTCATTAGTAAAAACAAAAGTAGAGCTAAACTTTCATTCACTGCTTGTCGAGGAAGAATTTTGTATCTCTTTATCGAAAAGATTAGAAAAATGTTCAACTGTAATGAAAGTAAAAGCCGTGTTAAATATTGACATAAGTGGTTGATTAAAGTTTCTAAACAATTATTGATACGACCCTACTTTAGTTCCAATACGTTTCGTCTTAAATTTCAAACAAAAGCAATTTTCTCAAACGATTTGTTCGATTGGATTGCGTTTGGCGATGGTGGTTGTACCCAATAACCACGTTTTGTTCGTCTATACAGCTACCTGTGTTGTTTGCATCTTTCACGCTAACCTAGCAATGTTTGAGGCAAGCAAGCGTCAATTATCAATACCTTAATAGCCCGTGCCAAGCCCAGCGTATTTAAGGAGAGATGTCTATTGCCTCTGTCACTTTCTACCAATCGATCGAGGCGATTACATGCGTGTGGGTTAGTGTATTCATACCCACAGGACATTATTTTCGAAACGAAACGTTGTTGAACATAATTTAGGATTAAGATTTTTCCTCAGGAATATTTTAACATTATCCAGTGACGAAATCTTGGCTGTTAAGTTCGATAACTTACTTTCCATCGGGCCCGGACGGTCTGTGTGTGCGCTATTGGTGTAAAGTTGACTCAAATGGACCCTTTGGTTATATGAAATCGGAAACTGTGGAAAAAGGATTTCGAGTTTTGGGTGAAAGAGAACCCTATATTGAACGTTGTAATCCGCTGGCTTTTTCGATTCTTTGACTCTTTCCAAAATGTATTCTTCCCTTGTAGCTGTGTTGCTAATGCTCGTCGTGGGTGAAACCCTGGCAACGAATTGTGGTGGTGTCCAGAATAAGTACGTCTGTCATCCTACCAACCCTACCATCTTCGTGATCTGTATCGGTGAACAGGTTTACACCATGCGGTGTCCCGGGGGACTGCATTTTAACTCCCGTACCCAAACCTGTGACTGGCCAAAGAATGCGTTTTGTGGCACTCTTCGTCAACCCAAAGTTACACAAACTCTTACTGAACCATCGGGTCAATCCAATATCAATTCTGTAGCTTCGAATAAACGGGAAGAAAACCAACGAAGAGTCACCACTGTAGCACCCACTCAACGGAAACTAAAACCCGCTGTTTACCAAAAGGATGATCGTGGCCGCTACACAGTCAAGATAGTACCGACTCCGACTCCAGAAGTCACCACCAGCACCCAGACACCATCTAAAAGTAAATGGACCTTAGCACGTTATCCTTGGTGGGCTGCAAAATCTCCAGCGACCAGACCTACTCTTAGGGCATCAGTACCAGCAATAACCAAAGCCACTACCAGAGGTCCGGAACTGAGGCAAGATGGACAGCCGGTAATCAATAATGTACCTGTTAGACCAGGGCTTGATGTAACAAGGTACACTCCACGACAGCCAGATCGAAATAATGCTCCCAGAGCTCCAAATTCTGTGGCTGCAGGGCCACCTAAAATACAACCGGCCAATAAAAAGGAATCCATAGTTACAAGTACACCTCGAACGACTAAATTTAAACCCACAAAAACTGGTAAGTATATTCATTGTCTTAAGAAGTCTATTCTTAAAATTTTAAGTGTAAAAATACTTTAGTAAATATATGTGTATCCTTTCTTTAGCCATAGATTCGTGGATCATGCTGTTTTCATCAATCTGTTACTAACTACAATTTAGGAAATTCCGTAAAGGCCATGGGTCGTCATTTTCGGAGGGTGATTTGGGTCTTGAATATATGTAAATAGTCTTCGGAAATACTAAAACTGCAATCTCATAATCCCTTCAAATATACATTAAAATAGAAATTTGGCTTTCTTTTCTATATATATAGGCTATGTTTTTTATGAATATGTCGAAGCAGGCGAAGTTTCAAGAAAAAAAAAAGTCGTCAATTTTACTTTCAATAATTCCGGGCTTACATGGATCAAAATTCGACAAGAAAATATTGCAAGTGTTAATTCAAATATTCAGAATTCGAAATCGACTAGTGTCATTTTTTTTCTAGAATATGTACATATTTGTCTAGGCATAGGTTATATTTCGAAATCCGCATGGGTACAAAATGCTTTAGGTGATCTATATAATTTCATACTTTTTCCCCCAAAACTTTTTTCCAGAATTTAATCGGGCCATTTTATTAACACTTGGACAAGTTAAACCACTGTTCTAATCTTTATATCTTCATACGTTTTCTGTATCATTTTATGATATTAACCCCCCCCCCCCCCCTCCTCCCCCCAAAAAAAACCGAGATCCTAGTATGTTTTTCTGTTATTATTTTTTTTAATCTAATTGAGAGTTTAATTTTAACACTTGGCGGAGTTTAACCCCTTTTTGTAATCCTTTGTATCCGTTATCCTCAATCACTAATTGACAAACTGCCCATAACCAGACTTGCCAGTGTCAGGTCGCCCCTAATTCTAGATTTAAGTTCATTTAAGATCATTATTGACATGGTTAACGGTAAAAAAAAAATATAGTGATTATGTGACAATATGCGAGATGAAATGAGTTACTGTGCAATGTCAATATCGTATCTAGTTAAAGCAGACTAAAGTGTCCATGTTAAACGGATTAGAGGCAAATTGAGAAATTGTCATCGTCTACGTTCTTTTGTTCAACTGGTCTTTTTTTTGCCCGATCAAAATTGGTTCTCTTTGTATACGTTTGGCTTTCATTTTTTCGTTAGGTTATTGGCCTTGTGTATATTTTCTGTATATTTCTGACGTTTTTCTATCTGCTGTTCGTCTACAATAAGTTATGTCCACGATACAGTTATTGTTTTGATATCAATTCGAAAAACAATTAATTGATTATTGCCCTTAATTTCCTAAATATGTTAAAAATTTTACCCATGAATGCCATTTTCATTTTAAGTGTTCAAAAGTATACTTCGTTTTCGGCTGAAATCAAGGTCTATCAAAAATCACACGACTCTATCCTTTAATTCGACTCTAAATAAAACATGGAAATATTCCCAATAATTTCAAAATATTTCTTTTTATGTTCATACCTTAATCTTGTGACTTACTTGCTAAAATACTGGTACGTTGATTTTCAGTTTGACTTGGCTGGCGACTACCTGTTGAAGTTAATGGGTGGGACAGCCTCAAAAGTACAAGAATTTGTGATAATCCTTCTCAAAACTATAGCATAAATATCATCATAAAATTATTAACATGCCAATTACTTTCTATCAGTTCGATTTTGGGCTTTTTCGTCATTTTTGTAACAAATAACGCTAGTTCCGTCCCGTCTCTCTCCACCAGAAGTCATGAATATGTTTACCAATTGCATCAATAATAATAACAATAATAATAATGATAATAATAATAATGATAATAATGATAATGATAATAATAATGATGATAATGATAATAATAATAATGATAATGATAATAATAATAATGATGATAATAATAATTATAATAATGATAATAATAATGATGATAATAATAATGATAATAATAATGATAATAATAATAATAATAATAATAATAATGATGATAATAATAATAATAATGATAATGATAATAATGATGATAATAATGATAATAATAATGATAATAATGATGATAATAATAATGATAATAATGATAATAATAATAATAAT